GAGATACAAAAATGATAAGCAACAGCTAAAAAGTAAACGTAAGTAAACAGCCAGAAATAGAACCAGAGCTAGTCCTTCCTCAGTGGCGAGTGAGTGAGGGTTGAAAAAGCCAGATAGTATAAAGTGAGAATTTCATGCAAGCATGATTAGAAACAATATATATATATATAGGCCTAGGCCTATATATTATACATCTAGTCCTATATGCGCTAGGTAGGCCTACTATTTAGACTAATGATACTCGTTGTGTTGATGTTTTTGAATTGTAAAACCAATCAAAAGTACAAAATAACAAATAATGACGACGAAAATAACATTATTAATTGAATTTAATGATAATAAACCAGTTCGTATACAATAGATGTAGGCCCAAGTTAATTGACAAGGCCTGGCCTGAATTATTAAGAAAACAAAATACAGGGAGTCGCGTTTAGACGTCTACCGTAGTCACTTGACTTATTTTGTTTTCTTGATGGAAGACCTAACATATTAAAAAAATAATAATAATAATTTTGCATCGGGAAGATAGAACGCAATCATTGCGCTCTTCCACCGATAATCGAAAAACCAATGAGTCAACGAGGCCCCAGTAGTCGAGGTGATTACGGCATAGCCAGTAGAAATTCCCGGATTCGAATCCCTATTGAGGCAACTTTTGTTCACTCACCATACCATAATAAGCCTAATAATATACTAAAAAGTAATTTAAATCCTGCCACTATAATTGCATGAATATCAAACTATATGACGAGCCTACTAAATCATAGTTAACAATTTTTTTTTCATAGTAAAATTTACTAAATATTAAACTGTAACAAGTGTTGCAAACCAGTAACCATAATAATAACTCAGACCAATAAAATGCACCAAAGTAATTATTATGTCCCTCAAATAAAATGTCAACTGAAATTGTGTGCGCACCAGTAACTATTGTTATTGGCAAATACATAATTAACGTCTTAAGTAACGATATACTACCTAGTTAATTGGATGTCGCATGTACGCGCAAGACTTTAATTGCTTTCGAATGTAAAACACAATTGTTTGTAGAACCTAGGAAAATATATTTTTTTCACGAAAGGTGAGATGAATGAGTTCAAGAATTAAATACTCTCGATAAGCCGGAAATATATCTCGAATTCATTTATTATGTAACGCGGACGTTCAACAGTCGTGAAAGCAGCATTGTATGATATTGGCTCAGACCTTCATTACATCGGCCATGTGCAAACAATCTACAGAAGCCGAAGACACGTTATTCAATATAAGAAGATGATATCAATCGAACACAATTCCCTGTGTCATTAATTTATAGTATTAACACGTTATGAACACGTTATTATTATTAATGTGTGAATCGTACCGTATGTGAATAGTGAGTGCTTATAATAGAATTATGAAAGGTTCGTCTCGTAAATACTCGCCGAGTAATCGACGGTTGTCACGACTCATTGGTTTTTCGATTATCGGTGGAAGAGCGCAATGATTGCGTTCTATCTTCTCGATGAAGAATTAAATGTTTTTTTAAATAAGATTAGGGTTTCCATCAAGAAAACAAAATAACTCAATCAAGTGACTACGGTAGATGTCTATACGCGACTCCTTGTATTTTGCCTTTTTAATAATTCAGGCCTTGTCAATTAACTTAGGCCTACATCTACTGTATACGGACTGGTTTATTTTTACTAAATTCAATTAATAATGTTATTTTCGTCGTCATTATTTGTTCTTTTGTACTTTAGATTGGTTTTACAATTCAAAAACATCAACATAACGAGTATCATTAGTATAAATGGTGCCTAGGGCCTGGACTAGACGTGAAGACGCTTTACTTTCATTTGAAATTTATGACAGGCATTAGATTTGAAAATGACGAACACTTGAGTGAGATCGTAGCGACGTATCTATTAATTTTAGAAAATGTCATTAAAAACAATTATTCTTCACCTAACAGTGAGAAAATAAACGCTTTCCACTCTATCAAATTTTCTTTGACAAAAAACCCAGTTGAATACCCATGACATGATGTGCCTATAGGCTTATATAGTCCTTATATGATATCATGACAATAGTTAGGCTTAGCACATGTTTTGGTCAAATAATTAATGTGAGGGTCTGGACAGGTCTTCATGCTCTGCAGACCAAATATTATGCTTCGATGAGATGTGACGTTATCAATTCATTCAAGAGAAACGTTGGCATCACTGTAGTAATGATGACTGCATCAGAAAGATTATTTATCTCTAAAGTCATGATGTGCCTATATATGGTCATGAAAAGATGTCATCATAGCCATATTTAGCTTTTGGAAACAGACAATAATATTTACTTTCATAGAATATTTATCCTGAATAAATATGTTAGAAAATAATAATAATAGAATCCAACAGAATTTGATTGAAATTGCCTGAAACAGCTGTGTCCAGAATATGCCCATATTTGGGTGTAATATGACATCATCATGGCCATATATAGGCACGTCACGCAAACATTACACATAAATGTTGATAGTGTGGGCAAAGCTATAAATATAGTCTTCAAAAATTAGAAAAAACGACAGAGCTCCAATACCCAATCGTTGAATATGCTTTATAGGCCTACTTCATTTGTATATCACACGAT